AGAGAGAGAGAGAGAGAGACAAACATCTACCTCTAAACGTTCACGAATTATTAAATAAGAAGTACTTGTCTGGGCTTTGTACACTAAAGAAAATGAGATAAATACATGGATTTATATACATACTTTTAAGCGATATATGTATGTATAAACGTTATCTAAATTTGATACGTATATTCGTAAGTAATATGAATATAGGTAATATAATAAATAATATGAACGTATTACACGTTGACTGATAAGCGACACAGCTAGAAGCTTCGTGTTTTGCTACGAAGTAAAAAAAAGATACACAATTCAAGAAGAATGTGTGTATTTGTGAGAGGTAAGAGAGAGAGAGAGAGAGAGAGAGAGAGAGAGAGAGAAGAGAGAGAGACCGACAAATACATATACGTATTCATCTATGAGATGTATACATATGTACACGTGAGGTACACGTGAGATACACGTCTACGTTCGAGTACTTTATTGCTGTGTATACAAAAAGAGAGAAAAAGAAGAGAAGAGAGAGAGAGAGAGAGAAAAGAGAGTGAGAAAAATCTGTCGAGAAGTAGAGAGATACAAATGTAAAGAAAAAAAATACGAAGAATTAAAAGAGAGAAAGATTAAAAGAAGCGCGAGAAAAAAAGATCGTTAATAGAGAAGATCGAAGAAAAAGATCGAATAGGAGAAGAGTCGTAGACACACAAAGGGACGAAGAAAAAAAACAGGACGTTATATAATAATATATAAACGAGTCAACTTGATCCCGCGCATGATGTTCTGTATTGATTTGATTCTATAACAGCGTTCTCCGATATCGAATATTCGTGTACTGACAGCAGCAGCAGCAATAGCAGCACCAGCAATTAATGTTTGTGATAATCAGTGTCAGTATTGTCGTATTAGTAAGTAATTAGTGGACAGTGTCGTTTCTAAGTAAATTGCCCGTGCAAAAGTCTAAGGAAATTGATCGTGAAAAATTCTAGTTATATTCCAACACAACTGTACAAACTATAAAACACATAATATCCTTTAATTTTGACGAGTCGATGCCTACTTTCCACTACTTTTGCACTTGACTGATTGTAAAGAAAAGTTAAATAATGTTAGACAGTATTAATAGTGTTGATGGTGTAAAACTAGTAGTAATCGTAGTAACGGTAGGTAGTAATAAGTACTAATAGCAGTATTTTGTATAGTAGTACGACTGTACAGTGGTAGTTGGCTGTCGCTTTTCATCGTCAATCGCGAATTCG